TTTGTTTGAAGACTAATCTGCATTTGAGTTTTCCTAACCTCAAAGTGGTATTCTAAGAGAAGTGTTTATTAACAAGAACAACAAGCAATCCACATTTTTCAGGTTAACATATTAGAAAAGAAAGTATCAAGAAACATGAGGCAAAAATGTGTTTGCCTTTTTGTCTCTTTTCTAATTGAATGGGAAAAAATCACCTTGCCAAATAGGCAGTTAAAAGCTGTCATTCTCAGAGTTGTTCATTTGTCGGTCTGGTAGACACTGCATTTCATGAAAGCAGTAGTTAAATGAGTGTCACCATCTTTGCCATTTTTGGAACTTTACCATTTATATTCTTATTGCAGAAGTTTTGTTAGCTTTATGGTCAGCTAGCATTGTCCATGTGGGTTGGTCTGCATACACACTCCCTTTTGGGATTTACATTTACATGTTAGCAATGCCTGTTGCTAACAGTGGAACCAAAGCAATAGCACTGCTGTCTCTTAATGGAAATACACAGAATTTCCGACACTTGTGTATATACGGGATCAAAACTCAATGTAGCACAGATTTGCCAGGGCTTTTTATTTTAACAGTCTCTTGCTTTTTTTATTATTTTGGTGGTGGTGAAGCAGATGGGGAACAGAAAGGAGCAATGGCATTGTTAGAGTTGCTTCCACAAAGGACAGACTTTTTGAAAATAAATGTGTATGCTGGGCCTCCACTGGCACAGGGAACAGGAGGCTGGGACACTCCTGGTGAGCCTCGTTCTTTGTACCACAGTCATGGCATTCTGCACTAGCATCTGTGTTGCTGTGGATGGTATTTCCTTTTAAACTATTCATTAGCTGCTCAGAATATCAGTCAGAGGAGAGCAGGGTTTCTTCAATATACAGGTTATACAACAGCTCATGAAATCCTTTCTTAGTATGTACTGTCCTTAGAGGGTTACTTAATTGCTTCCATGACTAAAAATAAAACAAATTGCATCTACTGCTTTTTTAAGGAAAAAATTGTGTTCTCCTAGTACAGACCTGGACATAAAACTGAGATATAGATGTCTCTGATATTTACCAAGTTGAGGATCATGGTATGTACTTCATGCTTCCACTTTTTCAAGTGAACAGCTAACTTTGTATTTTAGCATGCTTTTGTACCTAAAAGGTATTTTTGCATTTCTGTGATTTCCGTCGTTTTCCAGATGATATGCTCAAGACTTAAATTACTTATCCTCCAAAATAAATTCAGAAGAGAAATATTGTTAGATGGATGACTTATTTTCATTGCCATATACAAAATGAAGATGGTATAAGTCAAATTCTAGATGGATAAATGTTATATCTGCATCTTGTTCATACTTCTTATTAAAGGTAAACTATAAACAGTTTAAAAATGGTTAGTTAATACTTCACAGGTTTTATAAATCTGTTATGAATTACAACAGTGTGTGTTCCAGGTAGTTAGGTCAAACACGTTAATAAATGGTTGGTTAATTGTTACTGATTATTATGATTATTTTTTTAAAATAATATTTTAAATAAATTATTAAGCCTTTCCAGTGTAAATAAAATATATGGGGAAACAAGAAGTGCTGAATGACTAACACAGAATATTAAAAAAATCTCAGTCTGGAACAACACTATGATTGTTTAATTTCTAGATTAGTTTAAAAGCAAAGGCAATTAAGATGAAAAGAAAGAAGAGAATGAATCTGTGCAGCATAAATCTTGCGTATGCAAAAGTGAATATGATAGTCATGTTCTTTCTCCCCAAGAAAAAGAGAGCCTGGCTTCTTTATCCTTGGTGTGGCTGCAAGGAAAAAGGACACGGTTTTGCCTTTTGAAGTACAAAACGTTTCTGAAAAATGCTTAAATCCCGGGGGATGTATGAGAGGGAACACCTAACCCCCTGGGACCAGGCTAATGGTTCATAATCCTAGCAGCAGGGCTGACACCTGAGCCTGCTTGCCAAAAATCCTGCCCTACTTCTGCATTTAGTCATCCTGAAGCACTGAGCTGAGCACTTAGATGAGGCCTAGATTTCAGGTCTGAAATGTATGGCAACTTATTCATCATTTAGGTACAGGTGATTGGTCTGCTCTTTAAAAATATACGTAATATTTAGAGGAAGCCACCTTTTGTGTAGTGGCCGAGAGATTAGAGCTGATCCGCAGGACCCGGAGTCCTGGGCTCCGCATCCTCCTCAGCGCCTCTCACCCCTCCGAGGAGTGCCTTCCCCACCGGGGCGCCTGGGCTCCACCGCGAGCCCCAGCCCAGGGCAGGCCGCGGTGTGGCACAGGGCTCTGGTCAGTTCAATACGAAGATCCCCCTTCTGCAGTGCGGCCCCAGCCTTGGATTCCCGACCTCAGAGCAGCTTGTGAGCTTCGTGTTAGGGAGCAGCTGGAAGGGAGCAGGGCTGGAAGCCTCCCAGGGCAGCACTTCTCCGAAAGGGAACTGAGTCATGCTCCCTTTTTGTTTGCTATCTCTGTAGCCCTATGAATTGTGCATTTCTCTCCACACAGTAGCACAGCTTCAGCTATGACTCCCACCGCAGTTTTGCTTTGAGCCTGGTTGCTAGGAGATGGCAGCTCGGAGTTCAGGTCCCCTTCTCACCACAGCTAGCAAAGACCTTGCGTCCCAAATTTTGTGCCTCTTCACCGTGTATTGCAACAAGGGGCCAGAACTCGAGCCTCCCACTTCTTGGCCATGTGCTCTAATGCGTGGGCTGGTACGCACCAAGGGCCCTGGCTGTGCCCTCCGGCCAGGCTCTGCTCGCTGTGCTCTGCTAGAAGCTCAGTGCATCAGCTCTGCAAGAAACTCACTGTTAGGTTTTCAGTGCATTGACTAGAGGGGGCTCTGGAGCACGTGTAAATTCAGGGACGTGCAAATTTGCGGGTTCCAGACTGTCAGGATAAGGAAACAGGCCCTGAGATACTCTGCTCAGCTGTAGGAGTTAGTCCCCTTTGCACTGCACCCCTTGAACACAGTCCAGTCCTTGATAAATTTGCAGAAGAGCCCTTACTGATCTTCGCGAGAATAAAATGAGGCTCTGAGTGAGTCTATGGCAGGAACCATCCTCTAGTTTTAGACATAAGCATACAGAACATCTCAGCCTGGAGAGTGTTAGAGATTTGGACAGTGAGTTAAGCTTTGTTGCCAAGAAAGAAATTTACTGTATAGCTTATGAATATTTTCTCAGAGAAAAGAATACATTTTCTCTTATAAGAGACAGCAGTGACCTTTGGAGATAAAAGGTAAATGATATTAAAGTTGAATTCCTGGCAAAAATACATTGCAATTTTGGCCCTTTGTTTAAGTCTATAATTACTTAAGAAAATGCATAAGAGACCAGTTTGGCCAACTCTCTTAAAAATGCAAAGCTGTGCCTCAGCTCATATTAGTGCCCAAGAGGCCCCATTCTGATTGTTTATGGAATTAATTATCTGATGGCTCAGTGTTCTGTATTAAATATTAAAATTTCTGTTAATAATATATATACCATCTCCTGAGTCATGTCAGTTGTGCCCAAGTCTCTTTCACCAATAAATATCTACAAGACAGAGATATCTTCATCTCTGAAAAATTGGCAGTGTCTTATTTGAGAGGTGGAACTGGCAACTGCTCCTAATGCAAAGAGGAAAGCTGCTTCAGAACCCTTTTTTGCTTCAACACAGAGACTGGACGCTGTTTGAACTATTTGATCCCTCTGTGCTGGTATATACATTCTTATTTTTAAGTAAACACTGTAAAAAAGGTTTGAGATATTTTATAACATTCTTAATAAGGTTGGTATATTTAGCAACCATAAAAGGGTTGTGCAGAAGAGAGAGACATAAAATGGACAAAATCTTACACAAAGGAGAGATAATTTTAACAGATCATTTTTCAGTTAGTTACCCTAAAAAGGTCTGCAAACATTCTCATCTCTGTTTTTTTTAAATACTGATCTTCCATAGATCCATTTTATTTGAAATTACTGAAATATATTTTCATCACATAAGAATATAAAGTCAGGCCTGTAAAAAAAAGTCTGCAGGTTAAAAGAAACAGAGAAAAAGTTCAAATACATTTGCAGACTAAATCAGAAATTCTGGCACTCATGTCCCTGTGGTGGGCTGAGCAGTCACACACTGATAGTTTTCCTTGTTCCCAACTACTAAAACACATTAAATCTTCTCTTAATGCTTTTTTTTGTTTCACCTGTGTCATTACTAAAGTTGCCACAGGGGCATTCTGTGATCATGAGTGGAGGTGAGGTGCTCTAAGCAGTAGCTATGGTAAGTGCAGATGGGGAAAAATATGCTTTCACCTGAAACGTGATCTCATTTAGGGGAAAATTGGAGGGCATTTTGCTAAATCCTGTTAAATATTATGCAAGCATCTAAAAGGTAAACAGGGAGCATTGAGGGGAACTTATGGTGTACAGTTGCTGCTTATACAGAGATGACAAATGCTTTCAAGTCATGTTTGTAGAGGCATCCTTGCCACTTGGCCCTTTGTGGATGGACACTCACTCAGCCCTCTGCAAACACAGGAAATGCTGTTTTATTCCATTCCTCTATTCCTTCTGTCATTTCTGAGGCTGATACATCAAAAGAAGTAGTTGGTGCATTCTGTATTCATTTGTCTTATTGAGAAAGATATGATTCTCTGGCTCAGAAGAGTCACTCAGAAAGTAATGGCTTTTTTCTATCCTTTCCCACGTATTTCCGGACAGAGTTGCGTTTTGCAGGAGACTGAGCTCTTTAGGGCGAGAGGATGCATCTTCTCCTTTGAGAAACAGCATGGTTGGCTTGTGGAGCACAAATAAATGAATATTCTCAGATTTGTAGGAAACATGTATTCTTGCTTATTTCCATTGTTTCTTTTCAGCTGATATTTGGTTAATCAGAAACACATCTGTGCTTGTTTAACATGTATTATACTTTTCTGAAAGCAATAGATATGGAGTCTTAACAATGGAAAAGACCCTCTTGTGCAAGGTAAAATGTAACAATTATTCAAAACCTTTCCTTGTTTTTGCAGGACGAGGCAGCTCCAGCTGACAAGCAGTACAAACAGGAGCCAGCCCAGGTCACTTACTCAACATCAGCTGTTTCCAGCACACAGGAGGTGTTGTACATCAATGGCAACGGGACCTACAGTTACCATAGTTACAGAGGGCTCGGAGGTGGGCTGCTAAATCTCAACGATGCTTCTAGCAGTGGTGAGTTTCCTCACAAAATGTGCCTGTGTGTATATGTGCTCATGTGTACATTTCCCCCTGCTGTACAGAAAGCTAGTCCAAGGGGTTCAACATCCATAGGCTATTATCAGATAATGAGCAGGAACAAAATCCCGCAAACAGCTACTGCTGAGCAAAATACTTGCTCACTGCATGTTAGTCTCCTTTCAGTTTCCAGGGACTAATTCACAATAGGGCGAGACTGAACCTGAAGTCTCTAACAAAGCTGCGTAAAAAAGTGCCAGGTTAGATCTTCAGTCGATTTGCATGACTTTATGAGGACCTACACTGTCATTATTGTCCTCTCCTGTACTGATCACGAAATGAGGCCATTAGTATTTTTGTGGCTGGAGTTTGAAAACACTGAACTCCATATTTTGTAACACAAATGAATTGACCTAGATTTCGCACATGGTCTCTCTAGCTACTTTAATTTACTGTAGATAAGGATCTGGCATACCAAGTGTTAAATGAGAAATCAGCATATCCATCTATATTCTAAACTTAAAATGATGCAGGTAATTATGTGTCACCATGAGGCTGTATGCCCCTCTGAAAAAAACGGTGGTGTCATTTATTTAAACAACATTCTTTTCTTCTTACATTAGCAAGCTTTTGTAACAAACAGATGTAAGCGTATTGTATTATTTGTTTGAAATAGTCCCCCATATTGATTTCATACAAATTCAGAGCAAAGGAAAAGGTTTGCCCATTCTGGTAACGAGGGTATTGTCTGTCTGTCTGAGAAAAGTGATTACTCTGGAAGCCTGAGGGTCTCTGGCCTCCAAGAACGGTATTTAAAAAATGTCTGAGAGGATGGAGGAATCCCTGGGTTTTTGTCCTGCCTGATCCCTCTGTGGCCGAGTAGGAGAGTGCTGCTTCAAGTACATGGGCTGACTTAGGCAAGATGGTAATTGTTCAGCTATAGCCTCTATATTCGACATGCTAAGCAATTTTCAAAACGCTACCAGTGGTGCAGCCTGCAAGGAGCTACTGGTATGTGGTGTCCTGGTGACCTTAGGTCATGTCTGCTCCCTCAGCCCCCACCCCCAAAATCCTCAAAGGTCTGTGAATCATTTGCATTAAGTTTTCAAAAGGCTTTAAAAAGATAATATTTTAGTTGTCAAAAGCCTTTGACTTGAAGAGAGTGAATAATGATTACAATTGTTTCCATATGCATGAAGAACACATCTGAGGTACTGAATATGATCTCTGATCAATTTTTTTTCGTAAAAGTAAGACAGGCTGTGGAAAACTGGTTTCTTGGGAAAATGCACAAGAACTTTAAAATTGTCTTTTACATTGTGGCCAGAGAAGATCTGAGCCAGTTCCCACTAAAAGCAGTTGGCATTTGCTCTTTCACCCAACTAAGAGTAGGATTAAACTCCCCATGTGTTATTTGTCAGCAGAAGCCATCAGAATTGTCCTGGTTTACATAATCTTAAACTGTGAGGAATCACAACTGTTTTGTGTACTTGTTCTTCCCTGCAAACCTCTTGTAATAGGATACATTTCCATAACTCCCTTTTTTCAGTGAATTGTGGGATTTAGGCAAAAACATTCTATGTCACCTCAGCATGCAATTTTAAAAAATGAGGTACAAATTCAACATCATAAATTAGCATTACTTTCTGATTAGAAGCAACATTTTCTGTGTACCTTTAACATAGAGGACTCCAGTGTTTTTCACAATTAAAACTTAAGATGGGTTTTGCAGGACAAACAGTTGTTATTCAGGAACTGCCAGATGCTGCACAGCTAAGGCAGCCGGGGAACTGTACAGTGCACTGCATTGCTGGGGTGAAGGGACCAGTGGATGTTTACGGTTTGCATACTGACATATGCTCAAACATTTCTTCTTCCTTGCCTTTCCCTACTTGCACTGGAAAATTTTGTCTGTATGTCCTCTTACTTTGGAATATTAGTAAACCATTATACCTCTGCCAGATGGTTGTGCATAGTTGGAGTGTTGCGCAATGGTGTCTGTCTTCTCCACAGGGATCCTACAGGATCCAAAGCACATAAGCTCCATGAACCAAAAGTCTGTGTGCCAGCACTTGGAAACCAGTTGTTGATGCTAACAATCTAGCTGGCTGCTGATTTGTGACCCACTTGCCATTTCAGGAAGATCATTAGGAAAGTTGTGGAAAGGCAACTCCATCAATTTCTCAGTTTCATTGACACAAAAGCAATCAGTAGCCAACCTAATTATCTCTGGGCTATTGAGAGTAAAGTGCTCTGGCCCCATTAGCTGGTTTCCCTACAGGAGAAATGGGAGGACTTGGAGGCCAGTTCTTTGGGATCTGTCAATCCTCTCTGATATGTCCATGGATATTTGCTTTTTCGTTTGTGGACTAAGAGGAGTGGATGGAGTTGCAGTTGAGAGGGGTAACCATTGCCCTCCACAGACCTCCTAGGACAGTTGTTTGCAGTCGTTATTCTGTTTAAAGGACTCTCGTTCCAAACATATGCAAGGCTGTTATGATGGTTAATGAGTTCCCTCTCTGGAGAACAGGATATTTGCTTGTGAATTGTTTTCAGGACCTAAGAAGTCATTTAAGAATGCATTTCCTTTTCAATTTAGTAAACCATCAAATGTTCTTGTCACGTTTACAAATGTTCTTCTAGCATAAAAATAAATATACACCTCAGTCAGGATGTGTGTATAAGCAAATACAGTCTGGTTTTGTGTATCTGCTATAACAGAAAAAAGGAGAAGTTGCAAAACTATCTAAAACTCACTGCTTGAATACCTATTTCTGGACCTTCCCCCACAGTAATATGACTATGTCCAATTAGCTCTCCTCTCTAATAGTCCAGCTGATGTGTGTATTTTGTATGCCGTGACTCATTTAATTTGGTTATTTCCTCCCTATAAAGTTGGTCCCTATTCAGATCCCATCTTACAGACTTAGCTATCTGCTTGCCCAACTGTTTGGTGACTCTGGCTCAGGGACCTCTCTGTGCCTGCTGTTGCAGCGCTTCCCCCCTCAGCCTGTCCTTCCACATGGCTAATTACAGAACCATAATTAGCTCCTTACACAACTGTAAGGGGCAAGCCTTCATGCAACTGCTCAATATGAGAAAGCAGAATGCAACAGCTTGTACAGTGACCCCTCTTTTATTGTGGGCAGGAAAAAAGCACAGCAGGAAAAGGCTTGGGCTTACAGCACCAAGGTCTCTTTTTTTTTTTTTTTTTTCCCCTGCTTTTAAACCCTTTAGGCCAAGGCAGCTTGGCTGGAAAGCTTCACCCCATCACCAAGCAATCTGTGGGTTGACAGAGCCTCTGTCAGCCTATACATGAGCTGGGGAGAAGCCTTCGGGCACGTCGTCCTTGATTCTTGTAGATGCTAAAGGAGAGCTGCTCTTTGAGAAGGGTAGACTTCCACGGCTCTCTTTTTAAGACTAATGCAGGTCCTGCTACAGAACTGAATAGAGAATCTCCAAGGCAGGATAGCCCAGTGGGTGTGAAAAAAATTGCTTGCCAGCTCCTAGCTAGCCACAAAGGCTTCATCTGGCCCCACTCCATCACACCTGGACTGAGCTTGGAGGGACGCCCAGCTTGAGGGCAGGAGGGTGAGGACAGGAGACAGGCTGCTCTTTTGGGAGCAAAATCTCTTGCTGCCACCAGAAGCTGTTGAAGTCCCTGCATGCTGCCTGAGCCTCTCCTGACAGCATGGGATCACCCCTTCTCCCCACATGTTTCTGTCCAATGGGTCACTGTCCGCCCTTTCCCCATGACTGTCAGCTGTCAGCACTCTCTGAAGCCAGGGCGGGCTTATCAGAGCCTTGCTCCCCACAGCCACTCTGTTTCCTGAAGTCCATTTTCCCTAAGAGGTGTGGAAAGTGTTTCTTCTGCCATTGATGGGTTTCCTGGAGGTGATTTGGGGCTGTTTCTTCTGCATCACTGCCTGGTTTTCCAGGCAGAAATGTCAGTTGTTTCCCTTTGTGTGTGTAAAAAGAGAGGGTCTTTCAGACTCAAAGGCAGACTGGCTGTGCAGGACATGCCCTCCTGTCATGGTAAGACAAAGCATCTGTTGTGTCTCCGTTTCTCTACACAGATCTGCAGCCTACCTCCACCACAGCCTCAACTCAGCACTGCATCCCAGGCACCACAAACGTCCAGTCCCCTTCCAGCTCAGGTGAGTCTTCCTGGTGAATCTGAATATGTTCACACCACAAGCAAATCCTGAGCCCTGGCAGGCTTCTCTTTCAGCCTCCTCTCCCATGGGCGGGCCTGCAGACCATGACCAATGGCCCCATGCTCCAGCTGGTAGCTGTCAGACTCCTACCACACTGCTCACCTCTCCCTGCTGCTCCCTTCCAGAGGCCCAGAAGGGCTGCGCTCTCCCAGCCATTCCCCACTTTAGCCTGGCCTCTTACCCAGGTGCAAATCAGCCTTCCTGGTCCTTCTGCCTCCTGGTCCTTCAGGTGGTGCAGCCCTGCTGAAGACGATGGGGGTAGATGGAGGAAGGTCCTGGAACTGATGCTGCTGAGCCCCAGTGATCAGCATGGCTGTGCTGCTCTGGGGCAGGGAGAGGAGAACTGAGCACTCTTATCCACTTTTGCATGTGACAGTAGGGGGGGGGTGCCTCATTTCTGCACCCTCAGATTGGGTGAAGTTATAACCTTCTGTAAAATCTTGGCATTTGCATGAGCGGTAGTGGCTTCTTGGCAATAAACTAGGAAAAAACCCAGTCCAGCTGAGAATATCCAGTATGTAGCTAATTCATAAAGTGCTGACTGGGTTACCCGCAGCATTGCTGGCCATGATGTAGGGGTTGAATGGGATTTTTGCTGTGGTTGCTCTCTCCAGCTCTTCTTTATACCTCTACTCTTGCACAGTCTTCTGTGTTCTCAGTGCTATCCTGATGACATCAAAGTGAGAGAGAGAGGAAAGACAAAACAGCTTGTCCCTAACACAGCTGGAGCCTGGAGCATGAAAAGACACAGAACAAGAGTGTTAGAGCTAGGAACCTGGG